AAGTGATGCACAATGCAATTGCTCGCCACCTGCTGACCGATGCCCAGCCAGGTCCCAAGCAGAGATCGCTGCCCCCCAGCCAACTCCCCGCAGCTTATATACTGAGCATGACATTATATGGTATGGAATAGCCCTTTGGCCACTTTGGGTCAGCTGTCCTGGCTGTGCCCCCTCCCAGCTTCTTGTGCACCTGGCAGAGCATGGGAAGCTGAAAAAGTCCTTGACTAGCATAAGCAGTACTTAGCAACAACTAAAACAGCAGTGTGTTATCAACATTCTTCTCATCCTAAATCCAAACCACAGCACTATGCCAGCTACTAGGAAGAAAAATTAACTCTATCCCAGCTGAAACTAGGACACTTTACCTGAATTAATTTAGCTGCCTATGCCATGTCTCTCATTCACCCACCTCAACAGTCAAGGGCCAATCAGAACATTTTCCAAAAGATGAAAATGGGCAAATTCTTCCTTCATCTCTGTGCTGATGCTCCAGAGTATGCTCTCTCCTCCCTTTTAAAGGGAATATGTTTATTACTGCTCCTATTAAAAGCCAAGGAAGGAGTCCTTTCCCTCCGTCAAGGGTCAGATGGTTAGATATTCAGTCAAACTACAAGTTACCATTTGGAAATAGATGAGTATTGTCTGCTTGAGACCCAAACAGGAACAGAAAATGGAGCACAGATCAGCTGCTTGTGCAGATCAGCAGGGGTTGCATGGACCAGAAGCACTTCAGCATAGCTCCCCTTTCTGTGTAGCCTGTACAAGTGTCTGATCCACCAGGAATTTGCCCATCAGCACCATGTGGGCTTCTTCCCAGCCAACTTCAAGAGAAAAGAAAACCATTGATCTGAACCTGCCCAAACTGCGCCAATTTAGGAAAGTTCTCGTGCAACCTTAATGGTAAAGCTTTCTCAAAGTTGGCTTTGAAGTCACTCACACAAAACTAGTCAAAATGTCCATAACCTGAGCCTTGCTAGGTCTGGAATACTCCATAAAGCCATGCCTCCCATGAAGGGAACACTCTCCTTGTTAGGAGTATGACCCTGACAGACGGAGGTCTATCTTCTCTTCTGGCAGTGACCAGGGATGATGCTTCCTGACTCTGTTACCCCATTAGCATATGGAGTGTTGCAAGCTTCATAGGTCTTTGAAGAACACTCTGAAGCTCACTTCGTTCACATTAGTGTTTTGTGTTTCCTGGGCTGAAGGAATTACAGAACCCTAATAGTAATTGCTGTTCCTGCAGCCATCACTGCTTCATGTGTCAGATGGGCTGTACTTCAGAGTTAAATGCCCTGTGGCATCAGTCTTGCTTCCTTCCCTCTTCTAAACTGCTTTTGTCCATTCTTATTTCAAGCAGCTGTAGTTTTACATTTCCCAGGTATGTTAAATTTATTCCTCTTTAACTTTTACAGCAAAATAAATTGAGTAAAATCAAAGCAAAATCCCAGACTGAATTTAATGCAGTTTTGTGAGCCAGTCAAGCTTTGTACCTTCTGTTAATTCAGGAAAACAGAGAGCATGGTGTTGCATGGGATTGATGCACTTTTTACATGTGAACATTGGCAAAGTGCTTACTTGACCTAAAATTGACACTGAAATAAAGGGAACAGCTAGAGCTAAAAATGTAAAAAACAGAAAGACAAAATCTGCCTTGGCCAGTATGAGTTAGTCAGAATGATTTGTTAGACTCCGTTTCTCAGTACATGGATTAATGTAACAAGTGTACTTTTACTGATCTCCCTGTAGATTTTTACTTGCATATAATACCCTTTGAGAAAGCAAAAAATGCTAAAACCCAGCAATGCAAAATAATCTTGCTTCTGATAATAATACAGTAATAGTCAATTTCTCCTGGCATAACAGTATTTTACTTACTTCAGCTACGGTCCAGGGGACCAATCATGCAAACACTTGAACATGAGAGTCACTTCACTGCCATGAGTAAGTCTGTTGAAGCTGACTGAGTTGCTCGTGTGAGTAAATGATTCCTGGCTAGGTCCCTGCAGTGTAAGCCCCCAGTGCATTACTTCATTTGTTTAATATTTAAGACTCTCCCCTCCCAACCCTGTGCAGGGAGGGTAGTTTTCTATCATTTACAAAGCTGGGTGCATTGCCTGGAACACTGCAAAGTGAACTTCATTTGTGTATTTTATTGTCTCTGTTATTTCAGGTCCATTGAGGTCTATAATGAAAGATCTGCGTTCAGATGATAATGAAGATGAATCAGATGAAGCAGATGAGAAGGACAATGATTCTGAGTTGGAACGACCTGTAAATATGCGAGGAGGAAGCAGGAGTCGCAGGTGAGTGTCTTGTGATTGCAATAAGCCTGCTGGCCAAGACGTTGTGCTTGCTAATAATGGGGTGAGGTCTAATGTTCTCAGAGTGCTGAGTAGCAAATGGGCAGAGAATTCAGACTCTCTTTTTAAAGCATATGCATGCAAAAGTGCCTCTTCTAAAAACTATCAGAATTAGCAATTCCCAATACAAGCTATTTCGGTACTAATCCATATGATTATGATGATCCTCATTCATTTGACTTTCCTTGATTTCATGCCATTGTGACTTCAGGGAAGTAGTCATAATTACTCTCTGGCATAAATGAGATAAATAAAGTCCTTCAATTGCCGGATGAGCTATTCTGTACATAGTGTCTCATTTTCAAGATCTCTCTGCTCACCAGTTTTAGATTAGGTTGTTAAATCGGATCAGAATCAATGAAATTTGAATTCCAAGTAATTTCTGTGCAGCATGCAGTAGGTAACGTGTAAAAGTGCAGACAGAAGGTAAAGCAAGCATCTGCCACAGAAATTTTCAAAAAATGGTTCTGCATCCTAGCTGCAACCTTAAGAGGGGGTTTCAAAAATCATCCATTCTCCGGGCAGCCTGAAGCTCCATCTGAATGTTGTTGAAGGTTATGGAAAACCTGAAATAGTCTCTCTCAAACCTTTTCATAGTGGGTTTTTTATCTGATCTACAGGGTTTTGCTGTGAGTGCGCAGCACCTGAGTGCCACTGTCAGCTACTGCTTAAATGGGAAGGTAATAGGAAAACATTAATGAAGTTCAGCTGTTTCCCTGGAACACTTTAGCAGCTGGAATCAAGGGGAAAAAGACCAAGATGACTAGCAGTTTGAGAAGTTACTAGTGTCAGTGACTGTATAAAGGATTGTCTCAAGCTCAACTTGTCTCTAAGTGTGGAGATTTTGTTTCAGTTTTCTAACAAAACCTTAAGGCTAATGTTTCTCTCCCAAATAACTTTTTTTTTTCTTTCAACAAATAAGTATTTCCTGTTGGTCCTAGTAAGTGAAGGGTAAGACAGACTAGGAGCTGAGTTTTTTCATATGCCTCTCCTGAGATACTGAGTTTTTAAATTTTATCCAGGAAAAAGAGTGTTATTTATGATGAGAAACAAGGAACTTTTTCAGTGAAGCACTTGTCCAAGTGGGAAGTACAGCTGCTTAGAAAGCTTTTAGAAGAGCAGAAAAATATCTCTACATTTTCCTCCTTCCCCGTGGCTATGAACTGAGATGCAGAGTCACGCCAGGAATGTTGGGAACAGCAGTTTAACGTTCTAAATGTTTAACCATTTCTGTAACGTTAGCTGCTGTGAACCGTACATGTCACCTCAGCCAAGTGCAGGCAGACAGCCTCGTTCTCTGTGCTACACGGTGCTTTCTCCAGCGTGCGGCCCTGCTCGGATGCCTCTCTTCCGTGTGACTTTGATTAATGATGGCTTGCTTAGCGAGGGGTCATTCTTAGTGTCCTACCTCAAAGTGCAAGCTCGGTTCACCCCTGTTAACAGCCCTTTGTCTGTAGGTGTAATCTCTTGGCTCTGTTTTTCTATAGGGTTAGTCTGAGTGATGGCAGTGACAGTGATAGCAGTGCAGCTTCCTCACCACTACATCATGAACCAGCACCAACTTTACTGAAAACCAACAACAACCAGGTAAAGTCAAGATTCATAAATGCAGCCCTGGGGAGGTGATATGACATCTGATTACTTCAGTGCAGTTACTTAATCTGTAAACTGACATAAGAGCTTTTTTTTCTCAGGAGGAGAAGTATTTGATTTAGGAAATGCTATGGTATTTGGTTTAGGAAATGCTATGGGCCAAAGTAATGTTTTCATCAGTATTTTAAGAAATGTTTCCTTTCTTTATGAATTAGCTTTGTAAGGTAAACAATGCAAACTGGCTTTACAGCATCAATTGTACAATTGATAGGTGTTTGGGTTTGTATTAGCAGTAGACACAGTTTGCATGAAGAGGCTCATTGTCAGGAGTTTATTCATTCATCTTTTCCCCTCTCCCTCCACCAGTGTTTATCTAGAAGACTCAATATTTTTTACTTCACTAGAAGATACAATAGTTTTTACTTCACTATCAGAGTACTTGTTCCATATGCATAAGAGCTAATAGGAAAGTAGGGTAGTTCTGTTTTTCAGAGAAGAGAAATTAAATAACCTAGAGGTACAAAATACATCAGGGACAAATGCGAATTAGAGTTTGGGAGTTACCTCATCCCCAGTTACCAATAAAGTAAGGCTCTCTAAATATGAAAATAAAACATAAAAGCTGAAACTCTTTTTTTAAAAAATCGTCATTTATAAAATACATCATTTGTCACTTATGTTAGGGAGCCGTAATTCACTCCTAGTGTCAGTTGGATCATACACAAAACAGTCCTGAAATTTACTGACTGGCAATAAATGGCTGCTTACAGTGTTGATATAGTTAAAATAGAGTCTACATGTATTATCAAAAGTTTGTGGTTTAGAAGGTGAGTTTTATGGAGGAGTCTTTGCTCTTTCTCTTAGGTTAACTGCTTCAGTTATCTGGCAGAAATTAGTTATTTGTCATTGTTTTTTAATAAAGTTTCCAATACAAGTTTACTGATAGTGCAAAACCAAAACATTATTATTCATATCAGTTAAGTTCAAATACACTGTGGGGGGAAAAAAACCTAGGGAGTAGTTTGTGCACAGAAAGAGGAAGGACATTCCATGTCCAGAAAGCATTCTTACTACGCACCATAAACTCTGTAGGCTTTTCTAAGTTGATCTGCACAAAAGTTACAAGTTTTAAGAGAGAGTCTTTTGGGAAAAAAACAAAGTATAAAGATGAAGAATATTGCATTTACTGGACACATAAGCACAAGAAAAATAAAACACCTATCTATGGTTTGTTGTTTAATCAAGATTAACTTCTACAGAGGCAATGTAATTGTAAGTCTACCAGCAGCCCAATCAGTCACATCTTTCATGTTCCTTTCCTCTTCAGTGATCTAACAGGTCTACCTGCACATTTAGACACTCCAAACAACAGCAGTGTGCCATCTAAAATTGAATGTCACATACCTTCTTCCACTTTTATAATTGAGCTGAATTTTATAATCGAGCTGAAAATCAGAAATTTAGGGAAGCATTATGAGAATTCAAATTGTATGGACCACAGCTACATTTGAAATCTCTGCTTGGTAGCATAGTGCTGCTTGCCAAGATGATGCTTTCAACTGATGAAATCAGGCTTGTGTTGACAAGTCCATTCATGGAACTAAAGAGCTAAGGCAGAGTTAATATTTCTGTAAGCTTCCTCAGATGTGATTAGTGCTGTGTCTCATCTAAACTAGGGTGCTTAAGGTTTTGGATTTCAACTACACATCAGAGCACTGTAAGGTAGCCCTTTTTCAAATATACTGTGTCATTGCTAAGGTTCTATTTGAAACCAAGAGTTTTCTTCCTTTAGAAACAAGAAAAGCATCTAAAAGGTACTAGATCCATGCCTAGAGGTCTGTTTTTTTTTCAAAACGAGACTTGTTCTTCCACTGGCCTTACACAGCAGTAACTCAGGGGGTGTTGAATTGAAGAACTGGGATTTTTCTTGAGGAAAGTATGTTTTGCTTTCTGGCCATGCGTCATTCCTAGCTAAGTAAATTCTTAGGTAAGGTTAACGCAGGTCTGCAGTCACTTTCTGTATATAGGGAAAAAGCTGCCTGCCTGCTGCATTGTTACGGTGCTGGTCACCCTGGGGAGCATGTATGCAAATTTAGTCATTTATACCAAGGGAAGTAGAAGTGAGAGGGAGCTTACAGAAAGCTGTCAGTGAGGCTTCTTGCTAGTCTAGAAGACTTGCTTTTACAGACCTTATTTCTTTGTTCTATTTGCTGAGTTTTGTCCTGTGTTGTGACTGTCCATTGTGGTTTTGGAGATAATCATGCTGGTGATGTTAGTCTTTCTTACAGTGAAATGTGAAACAAAATCTTCCATCATCTATGATCATTTATTTTCCTTTGATGTTTTTCAGAAGAACTAATCATATTCCAGGTTAGGAATGATGGCGATTTTTTTTTTTTAACTCTACTTTTAGCTTCAGGAAATGAGTGTTGTGTGTGGAAAAAATTGGAAGAACAAGCAACAGTTCTGTTTCCCCAAAATATTCCTCATTTTAGTCATAAAGTTTTGATATTAAGCCATATGAACACCATTCACAGTATTCTGCTTGTTGACATGCTCTTCTTGGCTATGGTTCGGTACCAGATGAAGCATTCTTGGTTTGTATACACAGTAGTAAATGGCTTTGTATGGCATTGAAGGAAGGGTGCCATATAAGTGCAAGAGAAATTACCTTCAAACACTTCTTTTTTTTCTAGTCACAACTCATGTGGTCATTTCAAAGACTATGTTTCAAAATCTCTGTTGTAGAAGAAAAGAGACAGCATTGGGGAAAAAAAGAGCAGGAAAAATACACTGATCATGTGACATTTCAAAGGCACTGGAGAGTATCTCAGCATCATTTTGTATCTGCAAAATAATGTCTCTTATCCTACCAGTGTGCAAAAGATACAAAAAAGTGTTGAGGAGGCTTTAAATGACATGAAATTAATTCTTTTAAGGATTAATAATATCAGTATCACCTCATTCCAGCAACTCAGCATTTTCTGCTCTTAGCTGCTTTTTTTTCTGAAAAATATGAGTAGGTTGTATGGATTAAAGAATGAAAAGCTTGGTTTTGAGTTCTGATTACATTTTCTCCAGATGTTAAATTCTTTGTGTTATTAACTGATAGCAGAATTTCATATGTAATTGTAGCCAGTGATGCATTTAATTTTTACAGGATTTTCTTTCTTTTCCAGGTTTTAGAAGTGAAAAGCCCAATAAAGCAAAACAAATCTGATAAGCAAATAAAGAATGGGGATTGTGATAAGGTAAAAGAGAATGAGGTAACAGTAAACTAGTCCATAATGTGATATTAAAGTATTTACAAAACACCAACCTTTGTTACAGAATGAGAATCTTAGTATTTAGTACATCTTTGCTTTGGGTTCCTTTAGGTGCAGATCTTTCTCTTTTTTTTCTGTAATTCTTTCTTCTTCTGTCCTGTTTTGAAAGTGTTTTCCTTCTCTTCAATCTGTGTGGTGATTTGGCAAATGTCACCAGTTGGGAATCTGCCATCTATTATTTATTTTGTCTACCCTCCACCATGAGTTTGCATTGTGCTTCACAGATAAAGTGATAACTTCCTAAGACGAGAATTCACAGCTGTATTCCTAGCCAATAAATCATTCAAAAAATATATATATATTTTGCAGAACCCTTTCTGAGGGCTGTTCATTAGGAAGTGGCAGTGTGATTTAGCATGTTAACTAGAAAGATATGAAGCAACAGTTACCATTTAATGCTGAGAAAGACAGTTTTGTTCAAAATCATGTCAGCTGGCCATGGGTAAGAGCTCTAAGTCCTTGTGTGAGTGAACTTAGCACAATTTCCCAGTGTGGACAAGGTCCTCTGAAAGTTCATGTTTTAAAGGCATTAGTGTCAACTTTGTGATAATGTGAGGAGGAGACCAAAGTTTCAGTATATGTTGGTAGATTTTCAGTGACCTGATCCATATGCTTTTTGCTTTCTTAAGCTCAGTGCCGTATCTCTCTCTGCTTAAAAGAAAAAAAGGTTACTGATGGCTCAGGCTGAAGGAGAAAGTTGGTAATTGGGTGGAGAGGTGGGACATATTTGGCATCCCAGGAAGGAGGACAGTGGAATTTACCATTGGATTAATCTTGCTTGATCTTTCTGCCCTTATATCTCCTTGTTGACACAGAAAATTATGTAACTTTACAGAAAAAGAGGGATTTGATTATGAGCATTGGGTGTGGGTCTTATGTGGAAAGGTGGGAGATGTTTTTAAAGATGCTGTTTTGGCACCCCCAGTCTGTTCAACACTTTTTGCCACTACTGAGATATAGAGATTATCTTCTACAGCAAAGGACCGCCTGATAAGGTTTTCATCAGCATGAAGTATCTAAGAAAACCCACAAAAACTTATGACTGGGTTGTATTGAGCCAGAGAAAGCCAGACTACTAAATAAGAAAATTTAGCTCAAAGATGATTTAAATAAAATGTCAATTTGTATTGTTTTTGAAAACATCTGAAGTTTTTTAAATAAATAGCTATGATTTAATTAACAAGTTGTTTATGGGGGGGGGAATTTGTTTCTAGGCATATCTCGATGAACTAGTAGAGCTCCACAGAAGATTAATGACATTGAGAGAGAGACATGTACTGCAGCAGGTGAGGAGCACTCTCATGCAATGTCACAGTGTGCTCACTGAAATTGTAAAGTCACATCTATTTTTTTCCCTTCGTCTAAAACTCTATAAACAGGTTTAATAGCCTTCAAGCCTGTGTAATCCATATACAGCCCATTACCACTTTCAGTGCAGCTTAGGGAATTTTCACACATACTTTAAATTGTGTTGTCACACTAAATAACAAACAAAAAAAAAGGCTTACCTGAGCTAAATTTTTCACCAATTCATTGTTATGTTTCTCAACATACTGTATCAATAGTTATGAAACAGGGTGGGAGAATGGATACAGCTGTGCACCATGACTTGATAAAAATCTTGTTGCTTTTCCTGAAAATGACAGGTGTTTTCTCAGAAACAATTAAAGATGTTTTCTATGGCAAACAGAAAACACAGAATTCAAAGCAAAACTCACTTTGGGCAAAACCACAATATATTAATTTAGTCTTCTGAAGTCATGGAAGGAGTAAAATATGAAAATGAGGAAACCAAGAAGGCTCCAAATTTGTTGAAAGGTTATGCAAGGGTAAGAACAAAGAATAATATTCTTTGTTTTGGGCGGCATTGTCAGGTACTACTGGATTACAAATTATGAAGATTAAACAATAAGTACTGTTAACAAAGCAGATGTAATTGTAGCACAGGTAGTTCTACTGTTTAGCACAGTTATGCGCCAGCTATAGACATGTTGTAAAGAGGGAAAATTTTACTACTTCTAAATGATTGCAATCACTCATCAAATTTCCCAACACTTGGATAAGCGTGTTAAAAATATTTTGTAAGCCCCAGCATTAGTCTGTTTATTAGTTCAGGCTCAATATTGTGCATAAAGATGAGAAAACAATTGAGAGGTCAGTGAAAAGGAAGACCTTGGTTAAGGATATTCTTAGTTAAAGAGGAATTCTGATAGCTTTGTCAGATTTCATAAGTTACGATACCCAATGATGCATAGTGGTTATCCTTCATATTTAATGTACTGTTGGTCCCCAAGTTCCCTTTGTCTGCAAAGGGAACCAAAGCACACTTTCAGAATGGTGGCAGAGGCAAATTTTTGTCTATATTGGGAAATTGCTCTGCAGGAGGCTAAAAGGTAGGAATTGCAATACTGTCTTCACTTTACATCGTTTGTTAATTCTTAGAGAGTTCACATAAGAAGTGAATCCAAAAAAGCCACTGTGTTGTAAATTCATGCTCTAGCTTTTCTTCCTGAGCACTTACTTCCCCAGTTATCCAAGGCATAGCTTTTGAAAAGTTTCACTTCTGGTAGACCTCGGTAGCCAGTATTATGCAGTTACCAGCTATCAGTACGGAACTGCACCACTGTCCTAGTCTGCATACTCTGGCCATAAATCCAGCTTTTACTGGGGCTGTATTGACAGCCTGCAGAGCATAGGGCTTGGGTGGCTTCATGAGAAATTTTGAAAAGGAAAAACATCTTCAAAACCTTTTCTGCAAAGCAAAAATAAAAACAAGCAAGAAATGTTTCTTCCCCATGAGAGTGGTCTAGCAGTGGAACAGAGTCCTGGAGAGACTATGCTGTCTCCATCCTTGGAGCTTTTAAAATTCTGACTGAATAAGCCTGGAGCAGCCTCATCTGACCCCACGGCTGAGCCTGCTCTGGGCAGGGGCTGGGACTAGCAAAATCCCTTCCAGTCAGAATTCGCCTGTCATCCTAAGAAATATTTTCCAAGCAAATAAGATGGTTCAAGTTGAATCCATAATCCTCTTCCTCATCGTAGCATTTAAGTGTATTTGGTGGGGAGGAAATATTTACCTTTGTTAGAAAAATGATGGGTTCATCCACTAAAGCTTCTTCAGTCTGATGTTAGAGTGCTGTTATAATCTGCTTCATGGGAAGTTACTAAAATAAGGAAAAACTGTATGAAAAGAGACATAACTGAGCTGGAAATTTAGAGTATCCTATTCTGTGTAAATGAAAGAAGAACAGGATATTCTTGTGCATCTTAAACTAAAGGTAGACTTTTTCTTTTCTCCTGACTGTATTTATCAGACAAAAGAAAGCATTCGTTCACTGACCTTTTCCTCACAACTGACGTGAAGAGTACAGTTTATAATACTGTAGTCCATAACTTCTTATAGCACAGTGTTTAATTATTTATATTCTAAAAGTTAGGTTGATTTACAGTCGGTGTTGCCTTGTTTCCTGGGGGACTGTTCTTGCAGATTGTTTTCCCTTTGTTTGGAGTGCGTGCAGGCAGTCAATATAGCCCCAGTGAGGGCTGGATTTATGCCGGACTATGCAGGCTAGGACAGTGGTGCAGTTCTGTACTGATAGCTTGTAACTTCATAATACTGGCTACAGAAGTCTACCAGAATTCAATGGAAGAGCCAAGTTACTTACCAGTTGTCTGTTAGCCAGTCTGCACTAGCAAATGGTCTATGCCGTTATACAACAAATAATGCAGTTTAGTTTTAAAGCCTTTAATCCCTTAATTTTCTGCAATTCATTACTGCATGTGATGTTATCAGTTTACAGAAATATGTTCACAATATTGAATGGATAACTTGCAGAGAATCAGTGCTTCTCTACATCACAAATAAACTGTCATCCCATCTTAAATGTCCTTACTGCTTTGGAACTAGGTAATGAATGTAAAATACTTCCAGTGAGCACAGAAATAGAGTACAGGGCTGAGAAAGTTTTTAGGAATGAATGTGAAATTTCTTGACCAAGAAATACAAGAATATAGAGACTATAGGAAGTACAAAGGTCAGGAGAGCAACGGATAAAACTGATGTAAGGGATGGTGGTTACTGCATGAGAAGAGGGATTGAGTGCAAAAATATGCAACAGAAAACTGTAAATAGGTGTAAGAGTTTTAAAGGCAATGCTGGTGTTGAAGTGGAACGGTGGTGTTCTGTATTCCTGAGTGGTGAGTGTTATCTCTTTACTTTATGTCAGGGCAGGTAATAATCTCGTGCACATGTCAAAGTCTGCTACCCACAGACTTTTAGGGAGTTTCTAGAGAAGGGACTTCCAAGAAGGAATTAAGGCATTGATCATTCAAACGCACTGGCTTTCAAAACTTATGCTGAGGGATGTCAAAAGGAGAGGATGGGTTTTTGCAATCTCAGTTGTTACCAAGTCCATAGGCATGACAGCAAACAGGAATGCAGCCGAGTTGCAAATGAGAAAAATTTATCTGTTTGAGAATGTGGCTCTTTCCCAAGAGAGGCATTTCTCTTTGAGATGCTTTGTTAAAGGAAGCTGAAATAAATCCACAAAGAAGAGGGAGGAGGCAGGAGAGATGTGATACTGAACTGCAAATGCCTGGATATGTAGCTAAGTAATCCTGACATAAAGTGATAATTCCATATATAAAGTTATGTAAGAATTGCCCAAGAAGGAGAAGGCAGGTGAAAAAGAACATTTGACTAAGAAATTAGTCCTGTGAGAATCACCTGAGCAATTTTTATGTGAATATTGGACCATGGCTAGACAGAAATTGGTCTGAAATTACATTTTAAAAAGAAATCTCTCTCCCATCTCTTTCACTGTAAAGAAAGGGTTTGGGATTTACAGTGATGAGGCTTTTTTTTTTTTTTTAAACTCTGTGATTTCTAGTGATATAGTAGGGATAACTGAGTCTGCAATGAGATGTTAATGCTCCATATCCCATATATTCAAATTTGGCTGGCTAGAGCTGGGTTCCTAACTCTGCATTTTCAGTGCAGATGATGTTAGCATGACCCCATGAAAGGCAACAACATTTCTGGTAAGATTTTGCCTCTTACTTTGAGGCATCAGAAGTCGCATCTTCAGCTGGTGAAAAATCTCCTTAAGGCCAGTGCACTAGACAGCACAGGCATAAGGAAGAAATTAAGAGTGTGCAGCACTGCTGAAAATTACACTGCTCATGCCCACAAGGTGCTTAACTTCAGATGACAACTATGTTTTGAGAGTTTTCTGTAAGGGACAGCTTGCAAGTCTGGAAACTATCAAAAGGCTTTAAACCCCCCATAAACTGAAAAATGACATGTCATTAGTTGCACTTTGGCTTCCTTAAACACACACACACTCATTTGCTTGTTTAAGGGCAGATAAATAGTTGTACTATGATGGATAATGATGAAACTGAGCTGGAGGGACATTGTGTAAACAGAGATGTACATTACAGCAGAAAGGTAAAGCTTACTATAGCAGGAAGAAATGGGATATTTTTGTTCTTTGCAGCCAGAGCTCTTGGAATAAAACATTTTAATGCTGTGTTTTTAATATTATAACTGTCAGACTTCCTGGCAACTAATCTCAACCTTTTATTCTTTTTCAAGTATTTCTGAATAGCATAAGGATGCGTATGCTAATGCTGTAAGTCATGAATTCCTCATTGACTGGCATACAGGCAGGTGTTTTTCATTGAGTTGTCTGGGTTTATCTTGATACATTTTTGTACATCCATTAAAACTTTCAAGGTTCATTGCAGTCTTGATTTACCAGGTACCCTGACATAGTGGCTATATTTCTTGAGGGGTGGATGATGGATGTATTTAAAATGTTTATATTTCCCTTGGCCTAGAGCTTGAAAGCCCAAAGCAGAACCTGATCAATAAAAGTGCTTATCAGTTTTTTAAAATACACAGTTCTGTTTAAAAATACATGTGTTAGCACTTTCATGTAATCTCTGTTTCTAAAATCACATATATTGCTGTGGGGGTTATGAGGGGTGGTATTCTTCCACCATAATACAAGGAAGCATTAGACAGAATTGTTCAGCATAGTTGCATCTTCATTGGCTTCTGTAAACTTCTTGTGAAGCTATTTATTTATCACACAGTGGTTATTCAGAGACCGAGCCGGAGATTAGATTTCTAACTTTCCAAAAGGAGGCTGGATTGACTCTTTAGCTTCTGTTTTAGATGAGTCTCAAGAGAGTGCCAAAAATGAGAATGACAAATAACACATATCAAAGGGTTTTTTTTCTGGTAACAATCAGTTTTGTCCCATTTGATTTTTCTCTCTGATGTTAATTGCAGAACAGCAGGAGATGGAAAAGTGTTACAAGAATCTGTGAATCAACAAGTGGACAAATTAAGTTGGCAGTTTTAGATTAAAAATTCCGATATGGAAAGAAAAATCAAAACCCAGAGGCACAGATTTAAATGAAGTGTCAATAAGAGCAGGATTGTTCCTAAGTACTGTCAGAATTTTGGACAGCTGCAAAACAAATTAAACAGATTTTACTTTTATTTTTTTCCAACCTGGAAAATGGGAGGTGATTGGAAAGGGAGATTTTTACTGTAACAGGCATTTCCATCTTATTATTTTGTTTCCATTCTGTTTAATCCACCCTCAGCTGTGTCATTCTGTGCCTGACAATACACATGGAGTTATTTCATTTATCATCAATGTAGTCTTTTATTCTGTGGTCTGAGGATAAAAACCATCTGTTTATATAATGAAATGGAGAGCAAAAAATAACAAAAGATTTAGTTTAAATTCATCGTTCTTTTTCAAGGTGGTGTATTCCTACCAGATTTGCCATTTTAAGGTATGCTGTGTAAGCCATGTGTGCATACATCTGTGTTTCCTCCAGCTGTGAAAAAGGAATTATAGTTAGAGTAATAAAGCTCAAGCAAGTAAGGAATATCTAGCAGCAGTGTTTCAGTGGAGGTATATGTGAAAGCCTTAGAACTAAATGGGTTTCAAACTGAAGGATGCAAACAGGACATTGAGCCTAGCCTGAGTGCCTCAGAAGGGATGGTTGGAAGGACTGAGCAGAAGAGCAATGTTCTGTCAGTCCATGCCACTACCCAGAGGCCCACTTCAGGATATGGTACCTTTCTGTGTGCTCACTTGGGATGTCTGTCTCTTGGAATGAAATGGCACATGAGAGATGCTAGCCATAGTGTGTTGGCACTGTGTTAGCCCTATCTGACAAATAATGCTTTGGCTTTCCAAGATGCTGAATGGGTTTTTTAGGTAGGTGCACATCCTAGAACTTAACATATGTGGAATTACTTGTTACAGCAATTCATTGTTGAGTATGACCACTTTTTAGAAATGTAGACTACAATTCAGAGACTAAAAATGTCAAAACTGTGGAAAGGCACAAGTTAGATATGTACTGTTGATTTCACAGAATCATAAAATGGTTAAGGTTGAAAGGGACCCCTGGAGGTCATCTGGTCCAACCCCCATGCTCAGGCAGGGGCATGCAGAGCCAATTGCCCAGGACCATGTCAGATGGCTTTTGAATATCTCCAGGAATGGAGAACCCACAATCTCCCTGGGAACCCAAGCCACAGTTTGGTCACCCTCACAGAAAAAAAGTGTTTCCTGATATTCAGAGGGAACCTCCTGTGTTTCAGTTCATGCCCATTGCCTCTGGTCCTGTCACTGGGCACCACTGAAAACAGCCTGTCTCTGTCTTCTTTACACCCTCCTTTCAGGTATTTGTACACATTGATACTATCCACCCTGAGCCTTCTCTCCTCCAGGATGAAGAGTCCCAGTTCTTTGAGCCTTTCCTTAAAGGAGAGATGTTTTAGTCCCCGTTTTTCTCAGGAAGTCCTAACAGCTCTTCTGTTTCCTGTTTGAATGAAAGCATTGATTATAGATTAAATAGTCACCGGAAGAATTGGTCTTATGCCATTGGTAGGATTCTTTCATGGTTGATTTGGTTTAAGAAATTGATTTGTTACTCAAGAAATAACTGCTAGTATGTGAACTAACAGTTGATGTGAGAGCTCTTGAATACATTTTTGTTTGATGTGGACTAGATTCTATAAGGATTTATTTCTTTCCCTTGCCTGAAGAAAGGCTTATGCCAATTATTTTCTAAATAATTTCTAAATCTGCTTAGCAGCTATGCACACAGTAGATATTCCAGACAGAGATATACCTGTTTTTTTTTTTTAATTTGTTTGGGCTTGGGAGTGGGGTGGGGTGTTGCACTCTTTTTTCTTTTTTTTTTTTTTTAAAAGACTGACTTAGAAAATATGCAAATTTTCTTTTAACATTTGAAAAATATATTCTCACTGGTAATATTTGCTGGAACAGCAGATGGGTAGGCTAGCATTATGGTTGATGATGATCTAAAAAGAAGACCGAGGTACTGTAGTTTGAACCACAGTTCATCTCAGAAAGGAAGTGATTGATAAGGATAGTGGTTGAACTTGCAAGTATTGGGGCAATTTGGCTTGTTTTATGCCTTTCATATGATACTTATTGGCATGTTGATACATTCAGTGGGCATGTAAAACTGCTGAAATTTTCAAATGCATCTTTTTTTTCCTTTCAGATAGTAAATCTTATAGAAGAAACTGGACACTTTCATATCACAAATACAACCTTTGACTTTGATCTTTGCTCACTGGACAAAACCACAGTCCGTAAACTGCAGAGTTACCTGGAAACATCTGGAACCTCCTGAGGATTCAGCATCTGGCTGCATCAAAAACTGTTCTTTAAATGAAACATTCAGAATGATGCAACCAAAATGGGGGGAAAAAACAAAACAACCCTCTTCAGCTTTATTTTTCCTTAAAGCCAGTCATCATCTCTTAATAAGGGAGAGGAAAAGCGACAAGACTCAGAGGACCGCTCTT